ATTTCTGGTTCATACTGACCCTGGGTTCTGAATGCGTGGACACATAATAGGATAGCTAGTCTCTGTCATATATCAATTCCCAGCATCTATTTATTTTTATTGTTGAAAGTATTACAGATGCCCCACCTTTTCCCCCTATTGACCTCCTCCTCCCCACATCCACCCCCTTCCTGTTTTCCCCAAACTATTGTCTATGTCTATTGGTTGTGCATATATACATATAAGTTCTTTGGTTTATCTCTTCCCACCTCTTCAACCCCTCCATATCCTTCTGAGTTTTGTCAGTCTGTTCCCTACTTCCATGTCTCTGGATCTATTTTGATGGACAGCTTATTTTGTTCATGATATTCCATAAATAAGTGAGATCATGTGGTACTTGTCTTTCTCTGACTGGCTTGTTTCACTTAGCATAATACTCTGCAGGTCCCTCCATGCCATCTTAACAGTTAAGAGATCTTTCTTTTTTAAAGCTGCATAGTATTCCATTGTGTAAATGTACCACAGCTTTTTTATCCACTCATTTATGTTTTATTCAATTATACTTTTAGGGCTTCTGAAGGGTTTTTATTTTTCAAATTATTTACTAGTGGTGAAAATTTATAAGAGTTTGCAATGGAATTGTTAGCCTTGTGTTATTTCATACTATAGCAACTGAGGCTTTTTGAAATTTTTTTCATTTAGCCACTTTTACCAACATGATTTGATAAACAATGCATCTCACTGCATGGAACTACTTTTAGGGTATTGTTCTTTTACATACGAGATCTCTTTCTTAGTATTACATTCTTTATCTTGTGTGAATGTCACTTTTAAAATTATTGTAAATTTGAATGAGGTTTAAAGTTGTTCATGCAATAAAATCTTGCCTCCAATTGCTCTTTTGTTTTTGTTTGTTTTCTTTAGCTCTTCTCACCTATTTATGCTTCTGAATGAAACTTCAAGTAATTTTGTCAAATTCCTAAAACAATTCTTTCAGTCTTTTCATTAACTACATAGTTAACTTTAAGATTTTAGAAATAATATAACAAATCTTTAAAAAATGGGGAAATATACTATAATTAGAAAATAATAACAGTAGCTGAAAAATTCAAGAACTGATTCTTTATAAAGAATGACAATATTTAGAGGGAATTTGATAAAATTAGATACCCAGTCCTTGTTTTAAAATGTGTATAAAGATTAAGAAACTGGAAATACAGTTCTTACAAATGGGGATGGGGTTAAACCAATAAATTTAATTGAAAAATAATTTGTCTATTTGCAATGTGCTTTCTTCCTGTTCTATTTACTAAACTCTTTTTTAAATAACTCTTAAAATGTGTGGTTTTCTTCATCATAGTACTTTCATATACTTCTTGCTTGGTGTTATTTTAGGTCTCTGTTGCTATTAGTAGAATATTCACCTGCGTTAACTTTTTAATTGGTTGTTGGTGATATAAAGAAAAACCATTGAATTTTGTTTACATTATATTAAATCTTCTTATTGATCTTCAAATCTTTATTGTTGAGAGTATTACAGATGTCTTTCCTCTTTTCCCCATTGCCCCCTCCTCTCAGTTCCTGTCCCACCCCAGGCCTTCACCACCCTATTGTCTGTATCCATGGGAAATGCAAATATGTATATAAATTCCTTGGTTAGTCTCTCTCCCCCCTTCCCTCAGATTTGTCAGTCTGTTCTATGTTTCTGGTTATCTTTTATTGATCAGTTTATTTTGTTCATTAGGTTCCACTTACAAGTGAGATCAATTAATCTACTAGTGTTTTATATAAAAATTATGATAATAAACATAATTTAACCCCCATTGATAAGTGATACTTGTTATTTGTTTCACAGTGTTGCATTGACCAGAATGTCCAAAACAATACTGAATAGCTGCAATGGCCAGCTTCATTTCTTGGATTTCACCATTATTCATGATGCTGAATACAAATTTATTAAGATAAATTTGTAAGAACTGTATTTCCAGTTTCTTAATCTTTATACACATTTTAAAACAAGGACTGGGTATCTAATTTTATCAAATTCCCTCTAAATATTGTCATTCTTTATAAAGAATCAGTTCTTGAATTTTTCAGCTACTGTTATTATTTTCTAATTATAGTATATTTCCCCATTTTTTAAAGATTTGTTATATTATTTCTAAAATCTTAAAGTTAACTATGTAGTTAATGAAATATATGCACCCTTATATTCATTGCAGCATTATTTACAATAGCCAAGTTATGGAAGCAACCAAAGTGCCCATCAATAGACAAGTGGATAAAAAAGCTGTGGTACATATATACAGTGGAACATCACTTGGCAATTAAAAATAATGAAATCTTACCATTTGTGACAGCATGGATAGACCTAGATGTTATTATGCTAAGTGAAATAAGTCAGTCAGAGAAAGACAAATACCTCGTGATTTCACTGATATGTGGAGTCTAAAGAATAATATAAATAAAAACAAAACAGAAACAGACTCATAGATATAGACTGATGGTTGCCAGAGGGTAGAGGACGGGGGACTGGGTGAAAAAGATGAAAGAATTGAGAAGTACAGCTTGGAAGTTACAAAATAGTCACGGAGATGTCAAGTACAGCATAAGATATAGTCAATAATATTGTAATAACTATGGATGGTGCCAGTTGGATACTGGAAATGTCAGGGGGAGCACTTTGTAAAGTTTATGATTGGCTAACCACTATGCTGTACAACTGTAACTTACACAAAATAATATTGAAGGCAAACTGTAATTTAAATATTAAAAGAATTTTAAAAAATAATTTTTTTTGTGGGTTTTTTAAAAAAAAATTTTCTTTATTGATTTTAGACAGAGAGAGGAAGGGAGAGGAAGAGAGAGAGAGAAACATCAAAGAGAGCACACTGACTGGCCACTTCTTGCATGTCCCCCACTGGGAATTGGGCCCACAACCTGGCATGTGCCCTGACTGGGAATCGAACCGGCGACCTCCTGATGCAAGGGTTGACGCTCAAGCCCTGAGACACACTGGCCCGGCTATGTTTTATGTGGGCTATTTCCTCCAGCCCCCACGATGACCCTGAGAGGCAGGTTCCATTAATCTTTCATTTCACACAATAGGACAGTGAGGCCGAGATGAATTACGAACCCTCTGAAGGACTCCCAGCACTGTGGGGAGGATCTATGGGCTTGCTCCCATCCGCCCCTGTGGATCTGTGGTCTCAGGCCCACCCATGCTGTCGCCAGCTTCACCTGACGTGGGAGCAGTGAACAGCAGAGACATTTTAGGTGCCTGAACATCGTTTCTAAGAACCAGAACGTGATCCCCTGGTGAGTCGGTACGTTCACACTGCGATTTCCAAGCACTCACGGCACTGAGCGCGGAGTGGGGCATAAAGAGTCTGTGAGTAGTTCACTCTGTACTTCTGATGAACACATGACCCATAAGCTAACATGCAATTGTGATCCGATAATCCTTAGATCACTACTGGGCCATTCTGGATCCCAGGTGGTAAAATTCTGGCAGCCAACCCACCAGAAAGGTAGAATATTAGCCCAGGAACAACAGTGTGTAAGAACGGTCCATAGACACCTTAGGGGGCAGAAAGTGGGGCAGTTCCTAATGTTTCACACACATGGCACTTGATTTGAAGTTGGCATCAACTAAGAAAAGACACACATCTGATTACTAGGAACACACTTTGAATGAAAGTTCATTATCATCTTAAATACCACAGTCTTCCCCCAAAATGCAGTTGATTCATGTCCTCCTGTTTGAAGGCAGTGTCAGCAGCACACAGAGCACCTGGTGACTTACGCTGGGCTTCCTCCCACTGGTCAGGTGGTGTCCGTGGGCCCGGGGGCTTTGGGAGAGTGTCAAGACGGGCTGAAGTGTCACTGCAGGACCCATCCTCCAAGAGGCTGCCCTGCATGGCTGGCGCTCCGTCCATGGCCAGGACGACTTGGACTGGGCCGACTGACACCCGGGGGCTGCTCGGCTGCTGGCAGGCTCAGTTCTGCCATCACCAGCAGGCAGGATCCTCCAGGAAGGGCGGCACTAGGTTTTCCATTTTCGAGAGATTTAAGGTCTCATAAATGGCTTGAACTCAAACCAAGTAATATCATGATACCCCGGCGCGGAGGAACCACGGCAGCGGCCCGGCCCTGATACTCCAACAGAGACTTGGCCGCACCAGGGGCGGGGCGGGGCGGGGTGGGGTGGGGCGGAGCCTAAAAAAATAATTCTTAAAAATATTTTTTTTCTTGTCCGGCCGATGTGGCTCAGTGGTTGAACATCGACCCATGCACCAAGAGGTCACTGGTTTGATTCCTGGTCAGGGCACATGCCCAGATTGTGGGCCCGATCCCCAGTGAGGGACATGCAGGAGGTGGCCAATCGATATTCTCTCTCATCAATGTTTCTATTTCTCTCCCTCTCCTTTCCTCTCTCTCTAAAATCAACAAAGAAAAAAAAATTAAACAATTTGTTTTTCTTTTATAGAAAAGAGCATTTAGAGCTATGAATTTAAGTGGGCACAATTTTGGCTACTGAAATTAATCAATAGTCACAACTAGCAGGTGGTCAATGATATCAGGAACAATTTTTAACCTAACACAAGAAAAAGAGTATAAAGCATTGGCTGCATTTGTATGAAGTTTATACTCTTAGATAAGTGAATAGTGATCATAGCATCTGACGTTATTAAAAGTCATCAACGTCTTATCAAAGTTAGTTCTTAGTGGCCTACCACAACTGTATATTAAAAATCTTGGACTTGCTATGGTCCTAAAAGTTCTTACAAAGAGTTAAATTTACATACAAGCCAATTATGGGGGATTTATGATAGAGTACTTGATATCATATCAAAAAAAAAGTAAAATATATGATATTATAATTTGTAAATGGTGGAGGTAATAGTAAAGGCAGAATTAAGCTCATGATTTTAGATCTATTGCAAGTACACCAAGGCTAATAAGTAATATTCATTGTTCACACTAAGTATACCTTTAGTGAGAAACAGTGGTTGAATGTGGTAAAATTTATTATAGGGTTGTAGAATTCATACAACCTAAATTTCTTACAGCATTCAGCACTTCTACAATTTTATGGATTTCACAATACAGATATTAGTGAGAAAGAATTACTGCATTAGTGAAAATGACTTCTTTATGAAAATTTTTCACTTATAAGTCATATCTATTATTGAACACCTAACAGAAATGCAAAGATGTAATGTCTAAATTCAGGAAAATTACACAAAATAAAAACAGAACTTAACAATGATGAGAGATTTGACATGCTTTACAGAAAATGGTCAAAAGCAAATTTAAATATTTAAATTTAAAACATGCTCTCCCTTATGACTGAGTAAAGAGCTTAGTTAAGAAAGAACACAAAGGATGGAATTTATTGTCAGGATGTTAGCTGACATAATTCATGCTGTTTTCAGAAATCTAAAACCCTATAAATCCATAAGAAAAACATAAGAATTATTTTGAATTTCAGTATCAAACAAGCAATGCCAATTAAACGAAAAATTGACAAGAGCTTGCAGTGGTTAGTAGGGTTATTCCCCCTTTATTTTACTATAAAGAATAGAGTAAATGCATGAGTAAATATCTTGAGTATCCCATACAATTTAATGTTGAAGTCATATTGTAAATCTCTGACTTCTTATTACTAAGAATACTCTTTTTCTGTTGCTTCTCATTCTTGACAGATCTTGGTCTCAACAATAAATTCGTTGGGGAAATGTCTAATCTTCCAGCACTTATCAATGGCACGTTTATTGAAACCTGTGTGGAAAGGCACATCAAAAAGCGGCTGTTTAGTTTTTTGTGTGTAACTAAAAACATATCCAGATTTTCTGTCCACTTTTCCCTGTACTCCACCCTCACTCTCCTTTAGTGTCCCAATAACACAGAATGAAGGAAAGGATAAATTGCCTACCCAGCAAGAGGTCTCTTCGACGAAGGCGGAAGGACTTGCGGTTGTTGCAAAGTTGGTAAATAAAGATGCCAAGGTTACTAACATCACGAATCTCCTCCACAGCAACCAGGTCTTCACGGACCACGTAAGTGTGAGGCAGGTATTTGCCACTCTAAAATTTTTTTAAAAAGATGAAAATGAGGAATTCTTAAAAACACCATTTAAATACTTATCAATAGAAGATATACTTTTTCAAATAAACTATTTTTAGAGCAGTTTTAGGTTCACAACATTTTTTCATTTGAAAATTATTTCAATGAAATGGAATGTTTTGGCTCAAATCATTAGTTTTTTTTTTTTTTTTAAGAAAAGGAAGCAAATTATTTGGAAATGCTTATATAAAAATTTGACATCCAAAATACATACTGCCAGTTTGCCAAAGAGCTCCACCAGATTTTTTGGAGGCATAACAATGGAGGTATTGAGAGGCATCAGATAGCAGTTCCCCAGCAGCAAATCCAGGTAAGCAGTCATGCCCTGTTAAAAAAGGGGGAAAAGGTATAATCTAGACAGTATCAATGCTGTAGATTTTCTAAATACCATTAGAACAAGCAGCTACATTTGTTCAAAATCAACTACTGTATTTTTAATAACAGAAGAATAAAAAAGGTTTTGGTGCAAAAAAAGTATATATTTATGGAAAGATTTAATATTTACCAATGAACTAAGAAAAAATAGAAAATCCACGAATACTTATATGAATGAGAAATTCACCTTTTCAAAGTCATGAATAATTGCTGCAGGGTCACTATCAGAGAAACTGGGAACAGGAACATCAATGATGGCGATGTTGTCATCCTCTCTAATGTCAGCCTCCTCAGTCACAGGCAGGAAGTAGGGCTCTCCTCCTTGAAGGGAATTTGCTGGGTCCTCAGAATCAAAGAAACACATTTCTCCACGGTAGATGGTATTCTAAAAGATAAAAAGGGAGGAATTAAAACCTTCTAATATGCATCATCATAACATTTGAATCATTTCTCATGCTAATATCAATTCATTGTATTATTTGACAAAGTGAGGACTGTTTTATTCCTTTTTATTGAGTTTATTGGGGTGACACTGGTTAACAAAATTATACAGGTTACAGGTGCACAATTCTACAACACATCATCTGTACACTGCATTGTGTGTTCACCATCCCAAGTCAAGTCTTCATCCATCATCATTTATCCCCTCCCAATACCCTCCTCCACCTCAGCCCACCTTCCCCACCCTGTCAATTACCACACTGTAGTCCATGTCCATGAGGTTTTTTTTCTTTTGTTTTCCTTTTTGCTCAATCCCTCCAGCCACCGCCCCCCTCAGGAGGTGACTACTGTTGATTACAGTTATCACCATGAAGACTAATCAATTTAATAAGCTAAAGGTAATTTGAAAACTTTCCCTAAATCTTCTTTTTTCTGGTAAGAAACACAAAATTATTTAAGTTGCTACTAAATGTATAGCAATTAGCAATTCAAATGTTAAGAATTGTAATTATTATTACCTTGGGCATGAAGTACTTGTAAATGCAGGCTCCACCAACAATAAGTCCTGCCAAGATGAATGAAAGGCCTAAGAGAGTAAGCATACATCTCCCAGAGGAGCCCTCTTTTTCCTGGGTAGCAACTCGAAGCTCCTATTCATTAAAAAGCAAAAACAAAAACAAAAACCAGATTGTACTTTTAGATACATAGTTGCTATCATGTACAATTTACCTCTCATCAAACCCAATTTAAAAGATGTCATCTTAGCCTAAAATAATTTCAAGACAATTTCTAATGTTTAATAGATGTGAAACTCTCTAATTATATTTATCTCCCTCCTGGCATTTCCAAACCCAAATACAAATATTAAGTTATTTCAAAATACACACTCTTAGAATCAGCTGAAATAACTATTCATTTTTGCAATATTATCTTCTTTAAATAAATGGAAGTTGTTACTTTTGGAATTTGTACAGTGATATTATCACTAGCTTTCTAGAATACAATTATGTTTCCTTATTATTTTTGTAAATGAACTTGTTTGCCAACTTAAAAGTAAATTAATATCCTTTGATTTATTAACTGATTTTCAGAAATCTATTTTTTAATTAAGTTTTATAGGAAGAGTTATATAAGGCAGGTAGATGGCATTTCCCCCTCTTTTATAAATTAAAATACTGATGGCAAGATATATTTCATAATGTTCCTAATTTTAATGAGAAAATAGGCTTCTTAGTGTCACCCAATGTTCTATAGCTGTGCATTACATGAATGAAATAATGTTTTCCAATTTCTGGGCAAAACATTACATTTTAAAGTACAGCATTTGCCACAGTGAGATATAAAAATGGTGTGTGTGATAGTGACTGTAAAATTATGTCACAATATAAGCTATGTTATTACACAAAGATAGATTAAATGAAGTTAGCAAATCTAGTAATTGGCAATCAGAGGCTAGATCATGCAGTCTGGTATGTAAATATAATTGTTTTAGGTTTTTCAGACCATTAACTCTATTCTTTTTTTTTTTTTAATCTTCATCGGAGGGTATGTTTATTGATTTTAGAGAGAAAGGAAGGGAGAGAGAGAGAGAGAGAGAGAGAGAGAGAGGGAGAGATCAATGTGATAGAGAAATATTGATGGGTTGCCCCTGGTATATGCCCTGACCAGGAATTGAACCCTCAACATTTTGGTGTACGGGACAACGCCAGGCCATTACTCTATTCCATGACAACTACTACAACATTTAGGAATTAGCCTTCAATTAATGGTGAAAATAAATGCATGGATTCTAACAAGAGGCAATCATTTGATAATTTGTCAAAACAAATAATTTTTTTTAAATTCAAAGAAATTTGGTATTCACATTTTCTTAGTTAAATTTATTTGAAATTAAGCCCACCATTACTACTGTATAAACTTTGAAGGCTTTTCTTCGTCCTAATAGTTTTCAGAAATTTTAAATTATTTTTATTTAAAAATGTTACCTAAGAGGAACATTACAAAGACAGAACTGTATATTATGATTGTGAATTACTGTAATCTAGAGCTAGAGTGTTAGAAATTATATTTTAGATGATTAAATTGAGGTCCAGAAAGATGAGGTGACTTAGCTATAATAAAGTGATTTAATTTGAAATTCTCAGAGAAATGAATTCCTTTTTTCTCCTTGTCACTGAGATATAAAAAAGAGCAATTTGCACTGCAAATTTGTTTCTCCTTTTAATAATTCATGGCATTTTTCATTAATAAAAGGTCTAAGTATTAGAGTTTCAATTTCATAAAATTTCCCTCCATACTAGTAATAAAGATTTATTTTCATTTAAATGTGGCTTCAGGATGGTAGGGTCTCTCACTTATAGCTTATTCTCTCTGAACTGTATTTTAAAGTTGTGACTGCTGACCTACTATTTTGCTGTGCTCAGTCTCTGATGAGCTGATCAATACATCACAATATAATTCATAAATATTAAATCAATGTCCTATAGTGGCCAGATCAGAATCCTGTGGGAGCTTCTCCAACACCTATCAAAGAAATATAATCATAGTGCAAATATTCATTTTTGTTTATCCCTCATCATACCACAGGCCTGGCAGAAGTATTACTTCCATATTAACTGAATCCAGTTACAATTCATGAAGTTTTTGGTGGTGAGGGAAAAAAAAGGGATTACTGTGTGGCTATATTTAACTACTGACATCTAATTAGGCCTCTAAAAATCTAATTATGTTTCACTTACAAAGTAAGTAGGACAATTACATATTTGACCCATCATTTAATCAAAACCTCAACAATGCAAGGGGGTGCAACTTTTTAGTTCTGAAATGCGTAGTATACAAAAGCTAGCTTGATTGCTGGGTTAAAAATTGGAAGTTTCCATGATAAAATTTCTGCATAAACACATTAGCATTTAAAATCGTGTGCATAATAAGTTTTACTACATGGATTCTGGATTCACTTAAAGCACTTTTCAAATCTCCACTCTGAGCACAAAAGTTCAGACTTTATGGAGAGAACGAGACAAGTTAGGGCAGATCTGCAAACTCCAACACTGCACAGATTTTATAGAACAAGAAGAAATACAATTGTACCTTTTAACATTGAGATTTTACTGAGGAAAATGAAGAATAGTTTCCAAACACTGAAAACATGTTAGACTTTTAAAGGAAATAGAAATTCGCCTAAATAAATCGTGGGTAACATTTTGAGGGGGAAACTTCCCTAGTTCCTGGCAACACTAGAAGCTTAAGTTACAAGTTTGGACCCGGGACAGATCTCTCTATGGGGGAGGAGGGCTAGAGGGGATCTAGCTCTAAAAGGAAGTACTGAAAGAAGAAATATTTTTTTTAAAAAACAGAAAATTTCTTTTTTACAATAGTGTGTGTGTGTGTTTTAAAGGAAACGTCACTGAAAACATAAAAAACTCTTGCAGTAAGACGGCACAGTGAACATCCCAAAATTCTAACGAAAACCAACCTAAATTTTGACAGCTCCCAAACAGAATTTTTAACACTGCCTGCTGGGGGGAGAAACTGAAAATATGCAAGGGTGGACACAAACACAGACTGCCCAAAACCATTTGGTTTCCAGTCACAGCGACCCTTTGCCCACCCCACCCCCTCAAATATTCATTGATCTTAGAAAGACTTAGATACACAGAACTTCATACACGTCAAAAGGAAAGAAAGAAGAGTTAAAGCTCTTGCCCTTGATCACTCTGAGTGTCAGCTCCGCCCCTATAAAGGCTGCGTGGGCCCCTGGAGCTGGGGACTGGGCTGTGTGCCTCTCATTGATCCCCAGCCCTTTGCTTACATGTTCCCCAGGAGAAAGTGACATTGAGTCCCAGGGGTTCTCCTCAAACTTCCTCCAACATTGCTTCTAGATGTACAGCGTGGACTGGAACTGAAGGAACGTGGTACCATGTGCGGGGATGCTAAGGGGCGTGGGGCACTGCAAGCGGAAGGTGGAGTGACTAGACTGATCAGGGGCTACTGGGCAAACCTCGGGGACAGCACAGAAGGGACCATTGTGGAACACAGGGGCAGCTTTCGTTTTGTCCTCTATCACTTTCTCCCTCCCTTCCCCCTAAACCACCCTTTTCCCACCTTCCCGACCCTAGCAGGCAGTCAGGAGTGGAGTAAGGACCGCTACCTTGCCGGTCAGGATCTGAGCTCGGACGGTGCGGCTTACAAGGGCCTCCACGTCTTGCCGTGCCTCCTCTTTTTGCATCGCCGTGGGTGTGTTGAAGGCGATTTTCACCATGGTGAATCTTCGGGCTGCGCGGTAAGGCGCGGCTCGAATCAGCGTCCTGGGCTGCAGGTTGGAAAAGGAGAAGCTCGCGCTAGCCCTAGCAGCACCTACTTTCTCCCTTGTTTGCCTTCTGCTGCTGCAAGCCCAGGTCTGGGGATACTTATGACGCGGTCCCAAGATGGGTGGGAGATCGTGGGCGGGCTCAGGGAGGGGCCAGAGGAGGAGCGGGAGGGGGTCCAAGTGCTGGGTTGGGAGGGGGTTGTCATTGAGGGAAGAGGAGAGCCCCGTGGCTCGCTGGGGCTGGACATGCCTCACCTGCACTCCAGGCATTCTCCCACCCACTCTCTGCGCCCTCAGATAAGAACAGGAGAGGAAGGAACCCTGCTTGCCCTGTCTTTCTGCCTGTGTTCAGGCCACAATAGCTTCTCTCACCCTTGATTCTGTTTTCCCAAACTTGGGCCTGGGCCCCCGTGGGGCCGGGAACGCTAACTTGGCAGATACCCAAGCTTCCTCAGCTCTGCACCCACCCAGATCTCAAAAGCAAAGTTCCATGACTATTCTGTTCAATACCATCCCTTTAAAGAACACTCAGAAGCCCTTATAGTTACATGGCTCCTTCTTTCAACAACTTTTTTCTTTGTTGGCATTTGTTTCGTAATTGTAATTCCCCAAACTAGAGCAATGCTAAATGAAAAATATAGGACTCCTGCCTCCTCCAATTCCCATTTTGGAAGCAAGACATGATGAGACACAGAGGAGGATGGAAAGTGAATCCTTGAAATAATCCAGATCTTTTCACTCTCCCAGGTCAGGGAAACCAGAGTAAGAATTCAGCCCAGAGCTTGTTTCTCTTCAGCCACCAACTGTGAAATCTGCAGGGGAAAAAAAGCAGGTTTATGAATGTACCTATGTGTTTAGGGAGGAGGAAGTGTAGGTGGAGAATATAGAAGTTAGCTAGATGCTAACCCAGTTCTGGTGGGAAATGAACAATAATCTCAAAGGGGCTGAGTTATAAATTATTATTGGAACATTTACATGTGCAGCCGGTGTAATCATGCTATTTCTTTATAATCAGTTCTCCGTGATTGGTCCCATTGATACAGAACCTCACTATGTGAAATTCATGCTTTGGAGGTTGATGACTGTGGCTGGTAGTGGTAAAGAGTTTATAAATAGTCCTGCTGCCAAGACAGTAAAGTGGTCTGTTGTGTGAAAGCAGTAATACTTACAAAAAAAAAAAAAAGATCCGGCTTGTGCTATAGAATCTCCCATCTACTCATATACTTATTAAAGGGATTTGAATATAAGGGTCACCACCCATCTGTCCAAGAAATTCCATATTGGAATTTTTCCCAGTGAGGTTACACTGAAGCCCATGGTCTGTCTCCACTGTGGGAGCTTTGTGAGGATAGCTTTCATTTTTCTCAGATAGGCCGCAGATAGGAAGGTAGATGGAGGGGAACAGTGGGGAGCCTGTGCTCTACACAGGGCCAGATGTTCGAGTTTGCTTAGAAATATTGGCATCTTATATTCTTTCACTTAATTTTGTTCAAGTCTGGCCATTATAATTTAAAATTTAGCAGGCAACCTTTAGTGTAGGCAGAGAAAATCACAACATCCTAGGATGTTTCTTTTTACAGGTATCTACTGTTTCCATCACCTTTGTGACGTATCAGCCTAGAGTCTATGCTCCTCTGGCCCTGTGATACACACCACACAGGTGGCTGCACAAATTGTTTCTCCAAGTGTAAATTGCTATTTGGGATAGTAATGTATATCTTAGCATATCTTCCCTAAAAGGTAGAAGGGGCAGGGATTATTTCCATTTCTTTCAGAGGAATAGATCCAAACTCTGGTAGCAACCAAGGGAATAGATGATTAAATGCTAAGTATGTGACATTGAGCAAATCACCTCATCTCCTGGGGTCTTAGTTTATTCCTAAGTAGAATGGTACAATATTTTCATCCTGTTGTTGTGAGGATCATTTAGGATAATGCAAGTGGAAACATATTTTCAATTATGAAAAGCATAGGAGAGAGAATTGGTTGCTTATGCTAGGATTCTTATTTTAGCCTGTAACATACCCATGTTTAAGAATGATCTATTTTTTTTAATCCTTCAACTATTCTTTAGCTTCTAGAGTTCCTTAAGACCAAACACCTGAGGTCAGACTCCTGAGACTAGTCATATAAATCGGCATCTAACTTCTCCATTGGATTTTGAAAAATTTGACCATTTACTGTTTGTTTATGTCATGTCCCCTTTTAGGAATGTCACCAATACTTTTCTAAGTACCTTTGCCACTATTGGACATGTGTGATGCAGGACATAAATAAGCAGTTACAGCTGGTACTCTCTCGATATAAGTAAGTAATATTGTGTTAGAATCATAGAGTAGCAACAACACCCATTGTTAGTGTCCTTTAGGGAGGGCAACTAGTTCCCAAATGTTTTTTGAATTTCAAAATATAATCTGTCACTTGCTCATTGGTCTGAAACCAGAAGTGAACATACTTCTATCTCCTTAAAAATGGTTCTCATTGGCTAAGCTCTTTCTTGTACTCTCTTTTTCCAAGCAACAACTTCTTGTTTCTTAGAATCAATTTCTCTCACTTTCTTGTATTTGGAAACTGGGGATCTGGCTGCCAGGCTGACTTCAGCTCACATTGTTAATTATGTCTGAATGCTCACCATTCAAGTTTATAAATGACTTCCCTGTTTTCACATGCCAGATGATGACTAAATTATCACAACTTGGACTAAATGGAACATGGCATATAATTGAATGTCAAACAGCATTGTAAACTCCTTTTGGATAATCTGAAATTACCAAAATTTAATCACACAAAAATAAGGCTACTAGTGGCATCTGTGATACCTTTCATTTCTTAAATTATTTATTTATTCATCAAATATTTTCTTAAAATCTGCTACCTTGTGCTGTTATTAGCTATGGGAATACAGTGGTGGGCAAAGCAGACACAACTTTGCCCTTAAGTAGCATATCACCACTGTACCCTTGTCAATGACATATTTGTCACAACTTCTCTATTCTTCATAGGGAACACTAATCTTTTGCTATGGAGTGCAATATAGCATTTCACAAAGGACCAGAGTAGATCCCCTGCACAGTCAAAGATACTAGAAATGTCTAAATTCTTAGCCAACCTACGATGGCTTCAGATCCAGCATAAAACATTGGTCTGACAGCAAGTTGGATTGGGAAACCAGTTAGGAGGCATTCTCATATTCTAGGTCAGAGGTGGTGGAATACATTGATGATTTCAATATTTAAAATAAAGGGATACTTTCCAGGGATATTTTGGAGCCACACTTTATAAGGTCTGGTGCAAGAATAAATTATATGGAGAAGAAAAATTAGAAAAAATAATCCTGTTTTTAATAACTGAGAACGCAAAATTGGGAAAATGATGGTGCCCTTGATAACAATACATCATAAGTTAAATTTCTTTGCTAAGCCCATTAAATTGATCATTTCATCTAATCTTTACTACTACCCTGTGAGGTGTTATTATATCCCCCATTTTGTTGATGAAGAAACTGAATTTCCAAGAGGTTAGATGACTTGCCCAAGATCAAATTTTAACCCAGGTGGTCTGGTTCTAGTGTTTATATTGTCTGGCTGCTACTAAAAGAAATGGGAAAATCAAGAAGGAGGCTGGCTTGAAAGCAGGAAAAATAATCAGCATATTCTGTGGGGAAATGAAGCATGATTCTCTGCCTATATTGCAGATTCCTGCCTCTCATTTTGTTCAGGACTAAAAACATTTGACACCCTTTTAAAACTTTACTGGCTATAGGCTACTCATCTTAAAGTATATTTCTCCAAAGTTGTGCAGTTGCTTTTATCAGCAGAGAAGCAGACAGGGAGAGCTGGCCAGCCATCTGCTTCTGGTATAATTCCAGGAGTTTGGTTTTAATATTTAAAGAGCCAGGCCATTTTCTATATCCACTATTCCCCTGCATATGAAACTCAGCCCTGGGAGCATAGCTAGGGCTCCTCACATAAAATAATAGAGAACAACTCAATTCCTCGAATACATTTTTGTTTCTTGACTCCATTTAAGGTTTTCTTTACAGGCTAGTAAGCTATAATAGGAGGATGCAACATTTACTTAAATATAAGCATAGATTTCAATCTCTCTCCACAGTGATGTGGTCTTATTGTCAAGGTTAAGAGGAAGAGGAAGTTTTGCTACATCCTAATGTATAAAAATTACTTTTCAAAAATTTGGAGCAACGTAAAACTCTAGTGAAATTATTTGTGCTTTCAAAGAATTTTTCTAAATTGTGTAAAAATTCTTACCTTGTTGCAGAATATCTGGGGAATTTTTCAAATAGAGTATGAATCTATGCCTGAACATTTCTTATCTGATCAAACTTTACAGAAAGTTCTACTTCTGAGTAATACAAGAGAGAAATGCAAGTCTAGCCCCAGGAGTGCTTTTGAGAATGTTGATTGGTTCAGTTGCTCTAAAATATATTACTGACTAGATAATAAGATGTCTTTATGATTTTAGAGGTATATTCCTATTCAATGAAAGCATTTGTGTTTTCATTAATGATTGTCAAGCTAGATTTCTTTTTGTTCACATGTTTAGTTTTGTTGGTGGCTCAATGTATTCTGCTCTTAGTTTAGTCTTAAAAAACACATAATCCCAAATTGTTTTATGACATGTGAATCAACTTGATTGTTTTTGAAATGCAATTTTGTTTTTGATTTTTATTTCAATATTTTAGGTTAACTCCAATATATTCATATTCCAAAGAATTTAATTTTTTCAAAGCATGATGGAATATTGTAAATATTTAGGCCAAAAGAGAGTACACAACAAGGAATGCTCTAATTTAGATTGTTGTCAGGTCAATGGCACAGTAAGTCCCAACAAAATAAATCAGATCATGATGGAAAATCTTGGTTGACAATTTTCTAACCCAAACTCCACTGAAAGTTCTGCATATATTTTAGTGCGGTTGCCATGATTCTGTGCTAGTACAAAAGGGAAGTCTTGCATAAAGGAACAGTGTAGTGTGGGGAAGTTTCTGTACACTTTTGCATCAACCCATCAATTATATTCCTGATTTGCAAGTTAGGGTAATTATCTTCTGGGAATTTTAATATTTTTATTTCAGCAACTGAAGTTTGAAATTACCTCTACCATATTGAGAAGAATCCTATGTAAAAATATTGTCTACGTATTTTGGGGAGGAAGGTGACACTTCTGTTATGTTTTGTTTATGTTGTAGTTAAC